TGTGGACAAATTTGACGCCCTCCATATAAGACAAATCAAATGGGAAAAATAATCGTTAGTTCCAGAGTAGTTAGCGCCAATCTGAACATGATGTCACCTGGCTTAACTGCTCGGTCAGGTAGCCACTTGGCCTAGAAATAGCTCAACTCAATGGCAGCCCGACCAAATGACCGCTCAGCCTGGTGGCCACCATGCTTAACTGCCGCCTGGCCTCGTGGTTGTGCCGCTCTTTCTCGTCAGATATCTATGAACCCCAAGTTATAATTATGTATAGACCGAAATACCTCCTTGTACCTACATACTCTAAAGATATCTCATTTAATTGTGCAATGACCCATTCCTATGAATAAGGGATCCATTTCATGAATAAAGGTAACACAATTTTATTGTTCATTAGTGTGCTATTGTTCTATTTTCTCCTCTCTCTCTCTCATTCTTCAACACTTTATTTTTAAGGCGTCTCTCCTAAACAATTTTAAATTCAACAGATAATAAATAACCCTTTGAGCTTTATATTTAAGAAATATCCCTTAAAGTTTTATATTCAATAAATGTTCTAAAGTTTTCGGTCACATTTCAATTATTCTACAATTCGCACACAAATATGTCAAATTTTAGGGTGCGTTCGACTTTAGTGCATTTGACTTTTTCTCAATAAAATGTTTTGACTTCAAAATCATTGAGATCATTATTGTTGAAGAAGCTTTCAACCCAAAAAATCTTATAGAAAATTATTTTTAATTGGATGGATTTTCTAACGATGTATTATTTATTCATATCTTCAAAATCATATCTTAAATCCTTAAAAAATTTGCGCCGTAAAATTACAATTTTAAAAAATTACAAAATATGATTATTTCCTAAACGTTAAAATGTTGACCTCGCCGACCTCTATGAATTCTCTTGCACCATAACTTCACATTTTCAATGAGATTGGTCTAGCATGTAAATGAGTTGAGTTGAACTCGAGTCATTTTTCGTTTAAATATGAACATGATTAATTAATCGAGATCGAACTTCGGTCTACAAATTTATCACCTCGCGAGGCGACTTATTTGTTAAAAAAGTCGACCTATAACTTCACATTTGCACTATATCCTTTTATATCCGGATGCAATAATTAAATTACTGTTCATCTTCGAAATTTTTTTATAATTAGATTAATCATTAAATAATTTGAATTTTTTTATGAAAGTACATAATATCTTTGACTTTTTTAATATTTCATATAAAATTAATTAATTAATTATATATTTGATTAGATGTATATAGGGGTGTAAACGAGCCGAACACGGGCGAGCCATACTTAGCTTGTTTATATTTCAAGCTCAAAAAGTGTTTTCGTGTTCGGCTCGTTTTCGTAACGAGCCAAACACGAGCTGTTCACGAAACAAAGAGTCCTTTTAACAACCCTAATCATGTAGTCATAAGACAATAAGAATTTGGGCAAGATTTAAAAGTTATTATTTATATTAAAACATCATTTGAATCTAATTTAATAATTTTTATTCTATTTTCTTAATCAATATTTAAATTGGTTATAAATCTTTGTAGCCTTGTAGGCTCGTTAACTTATCGAACGAAATTAATGAGCCGAACACGAGCTTCTTAACGAGTCGAACACAAGTTGTTCGCGAACAACGAACCGTTTTGACAGCCCTAGATGTATACATTTTGAGTTAACATTAGGGGCGTTTACATACATATCACATAATTTTTATGTATTTACATATTTAGCACCTATTCTTTAATATTTTGGTTCATGAGACTCAAATCTTCAACATCACATCAAAAATATCATTTTAACTAATTTGTTAAAATTAAAATGCACATTTTTATGCAGAGATTTACAAGCACAAAGTGTGATAAATGTAAATATCAAAATTTAAGTGTTAGACATGTAAATCCACGAGAATTGTGTGGTGCTTCTGTAAATTTCTCGTAATATTAATATTGTGTAATAATTGTTGAAATCAAATATTGATCATGATTTTAATTTCACTATGATTATCTAAGAAGAGTTGTGGTCGAGACAAGTGTATTGCTACAATTATACAACTAAGGATGTCAAAATGTTTTGTTGTTACCAAAAAGCTCGTGTTTGGATTGTTAAGAAGCTCATATTTTATTCGTTTGTCAGGTTAATGAGCCGAACATGAACATTTTTTATGCTCGATATATAAAAGAGCCGAATACGAACAAAGATTTGCTCGTTCGTGTTCGGCTCATTTTGGCTCGAAATATTACTCATCAATAATTTATATATATATATAGTTGATGAGAAGTATTTTTAAAAAAATTAATTGACTACAAGGCTATAAAGATTTATAATCAATTAAAATTATTAATTAAAAAAATAGAATAAAAATATATTATATTTTATTTAAATGTTGTTTTAATATAAACAATAAGATTCAAATCTTGCCACAACCCTAAGGTTGTCGAAATGACTCTTTGTTCGCTAACAGCTCGTTAAGCAAGCGAGTCGAACCCGAACACAATTTTTGTGTTCGAAATATGAACAAGTCAAGCATAAACATTAATCTTTTTTAAAAAGCCGAACATAAGTTGACTCTGAATTCACTCGTGTTTGGCTCGTTTACACCCAATATACATCTGTAATGTTGTGTACAAATTTGTGACATCAAACGTTTATCTCCACCGCAACAATTCTAAAGTAATTACAGTGAAATTAAAGTTAATTTCAGTACTTGATATCACCACAGGGGCACTCAAATAAGGGAAATTTACATACAAACCACACAATTCTTATTGATTGACATATGAACACGTAAAGTTTGATACTTACATTTATGATATTTTGGTGCCACAAATATATGCATAAAAAGGTACATTTTAATTTCAAAAGGTTAATAAAAGTGAAATTTTTGATGTGTTGCTACATATGTGAGGGCTATTTATGCAAATACATGACCAATGTGTGATATGTATGTAAATGCCATGATATTAATTTGAAAATGCATACACAAGTATATTAGATTAGAGTAAAAAATAAGAAATGAAGATGTACAAAGATGATATATAAACAAACTATGGAAGGAAATGGACCACTTAATTCTCCTTCGGTAGAATTAAATGTGCTAGAGTTCATTTGAATCTTTAGTGAAGTTTTCTACGACGGTAATATTGTGCAATAATTGCTCTTTAGCAGCCATTCAATAATAATTTTGCTGAAAAGAATACAGGGAAATTTTAAGCATCTTTACATTTCTTAAAATATCTTGGTGCGTGTCCAAGATTCACGGAGGTAGAGTGATTATTTAGCGTCTTAGTATTGCATGAAAATTCAACACATACCTGGGTAATTAAAGTAATAGGTAGAGACACTGTAATGTTTTATTTGGAAAGCCTTGAAAAGGGAAAGATACCATGAGACTTAGCGTAGTTGATATCTGCTATATAATTTTAAGTACATATGTTTACTCTTATACTGAATTAGGAAAGATGGAATTATAAAGTTAATCATCGTAGATGTACAATAGTAGTTCATCGATAATAGTTGTGATCTAATTGTAATAAATGTAGTTCTTGGTAATAGCAAACTACAGGGGTCGTAGTCATTTAGTATGAAGACAGTAGCCCGCCATGAATATTCTGGATGGTGGTTATAGCGTCAACTTATCGTAGAGGTTATAGTTGAAAGTTATTATAGTAATTGGTTATATAGGCCATAAAAGGTTAATTTAGGAGCGTCAATTGATCATAAGGTTATAATAGAGAGCTGGAATAACATTCGTAGGCTGTAGAGGCCGAAGCTGGGAGCTGTAAGAATTATGTTAGCGTCGTTGAGCACATAAGACAGAGTTGGGAGCTGCATAAGTTGAGAAAAAGTTCGTATGCGATAGAGGTCAGAGTTGAGAGTTGCATGAGTTGTGATAATGTTTGTAGACCATAGAGGCTCGAGCTGAGAGCTACACGAGTTGTGAATCACATAAGGCGTAGTTTGGAGTGCATGAGATGTCATAACATCCATATAGCACATGAGCTAGAGTTGGGAACCACATGAGTTATTGACCACATAAGACGTAGTGGTGGGCTAGAAGGAGAGAGTTTCAAGAGTCGAGAGAAATTCACCATATAATGGGTATTTCAGTTGTAAACAATCATTACAAGGTGTATGGTTACGCCGTCTTTGAAAGGCGTCATTGCACTGTATGTATGATACTTCATTGCACAGTATTTGGGGTGCATCGTTGCATTGCTCTTTAGTTTCAATGAGTAGGGACGAGCAATGGCGGTTGATAGTGGCCAACGGGTGGTGGTCGACGGTGGTTGGCAGTTGTTGGAGCAGGTGACATTTGTTGGATCTTTAGTGTAGAACAATAGATCTTAACTCCTCGAAGTCCCAAAGTTTCTCTAGTTCAAGTTCTAGCTCCTCTTTCATGAAGGGATTATGACTCTATTTATTGAGTTTATGAGAGGAATCCTGACAAATAAAGAAAGAATCCAAACCACTTCATCAAGAGATCTCCTTAGTTGGATGGTGTTCTGCAAACATTTGAATGCTTCAACAGTGTTGGATTTGAGTGATCCTAGGCTCGTTCGATTCGTCTCGATTCAGTCCTAAGCTTATCAGATTCGGAATTAGTTTGACCTTCCAATTGAACACTAGAAGCTTACAAAAATAGCTTGACGGCTTGAACTAAGCTTGATTTGACTCATATTATATTAACTTTGATGTCATTGTATTCATCTCGTTGAGCGAGTCTGTTTGTTGAAATCATATTTTTAGATGATTTTTAATCGAAGCTAGAACATTCTTTATTCAAAGGATTATCTCGAGATTCACGTCACGTCCCGAGATCCATATTGAATAATGAAATTTTTTAGATATCATATCTAAAAAAAATTAGATATTGAGTTAAAAATTAGTGGTTAATTCCAGTATTAAATTGCCACTTTGGCAAAATATCCTTACTTTGCCAAACGTCATACTCTTATCCGGTCCAATATCCCTCTGGTCCGGATAAGATCCTAAAGTCATAAATCGGACCGTGGTTTCCTTCTTCCAGTGAAAAGTTTCCTGTCCTAATGGCGATCAGTGCCCCTGCTTTAAGATGCACGGTCTTCATTACTCCAACCCTTAATTCTCCTAAACCCTTCTCTGGTGACCTTCGCCGGAGCTTCAGACTACGGCCTCCGGTCTTGAGAACCTTTTCTTCATGTGGAAATGACTATCGGGATTCTCCGGATTCCCGCATTTACTCATCACAGATCGTCGGGAAAAGCGTGGCTCATGTGAGCATTGCTGCACTGCTCGCTGCTTCACTTCACTTGGTCGATCCATCCCTTGCATTTAAGGTGTTTCTCTTGAGTTTCCTTAGATCTTTTAGTTTGGCTTGATTGCTGGTTTCATTTGAAATGTATTCTTGTGTCGGCGAAGGGAGGTGGGCCGTACGGAGCCGAGGTGACGAGGGGACAAGACCTCACCGGCAAGGATTTCAGCGGCCGGAGTCTTGTAAAGCAGGACTTCAAAACTGTAAGCTAAAGAAAATTCAATATTTTCTTCAGCTTTCTGGAGTTTTTATTTCGATTTTTCTCCGAATGAAACTTTGTTTGTGCATTTATTTGTTCTTGGCAGTCGATTTTAAGGCAGGCAAATTTCAGGGGAGCTAAATTGCTGGCTGCCAGCTTCTTTGATGCCGATTTAACTGGTTAGAATTATTGTCTGTTTGTAGGATAATGAACTTTACCGGTGAATTACTTTTAACTGACCGAATTCAAGTTTTCGTAACAGTAAAAAAAGTATGAAATAGTGATTTACTACCTTACTCCCTCTTAGTGACCGTTAGTGGCAATGCTATTTTATCATTTGAAACAACTTATCCGGCAAGGAGCGGACAGATGATATTTTGAGTAATTTCTATGAATGGCATACGTAATTTATTTATTTGTATGGTACATTGTGCTAAGACTTAGGGGGTGTTTGATAGCATACTTCTAGCTGGATTCAGCCATGAATTTAACCTAAATCCAACCAAACACTAAAATTGTGAAATTTAAATCCCTTGTTCCGTTAAATCTAATATTCGCTGATTCCTGTCTAATTTTTGATATAAATCCGGATTCACTAAATTTGATTCACAGACGGATTTAAGGGATTTGGCTCTGTCAAATATGAATTTTATAAATCCGAATTTATTAGATTTACTAAATCCTACTTAACGCAAATCCGGGATGCAGCCAAATGCCGCTTTAGTAATTGCTGTGATACTTATCATATTTCTTTTGGCATTACTATTTATTTCCCTTGCTTTTATTCTTTTATGTGACTTCACTTTTTATTTGATATATGGATAGATACTGTCATATGGTGTCAAATAAAAAGTGAAATCAAATGTGAAATCAAGTATCTATCCATATATCAAAGTCTTAATATATACTATACCCTTACAAATGGATGAATTACTCATTTGGAAGTTGATTATCTTATGTCTGAATAAAACATCTTATATTTGGGTAAATCTTTTAATTCTAAAAAATGGGTGGGAGATATTTATTATTATTATTATTATTATTATTATTATTGTATTAACTATTTATAGTTGATGTGGCCTTATTTTATTTTTCGATCTATTTTGGGCTTGCATCATCATTCTAAAAAATGAAAGGATTATGAATAACCCTTTATCCAAAAAAGGAATGAAACAATTTGGTAAATTTTGCTACTTTTTTTTAAAACAATTCTCTGATTCTTGGTTCAACTTTTTTTGTTTTTGGTCCAGAATTCATATTTGAAACTACATTTTCAGGTGCTGATCTTTCGGATGCTGATCTCAGAGGTGCAGATTTATCTTTGGCAAATTTTACAAAGGTAATTGTTGCATGCTGGAAAAATATTGAAGTTGGTAGAGCTGCTTAGAACATTTCATTTATGATGATCGACCACTTTTAGCTTACATAAACTGAAGAAAATGTAAGTCTATGAAACTGGTTGGAGGGATGGTTTCCTAGAAAGACACTTTGATTCTTAAGTCAATTATATTCTTCAAAGGAACCTAGGAAAGGATGGATTAGTAGATCCATCTGTTGAGAATGAAGAAGTTTTGGAATAAAAATTTACCTTCCCATTAAGGTTATTTTTAATTATTTGGTATTAGGACAGTTTGGTACTTTTGGCAAGGCAAATGATAGACACTATCTCCAAAATTTTTGAAGGATGGAGATGCCCTTTGGCTTGGAGTGTTTTTGTTCTTCAGTAGATCAAGGAGCTGAGGGCTAAGACACATTGTCTTCCTAGAGCTAGATCATCATGATCACGACTTTGAGACTAATATTGTTGGAGATTTGAATTAGGCTGTAAGATATATATTTTTGGATTTATGTTGATTCCTTTAATCTTGTTTGAAATGTTATTATGCAGGTTGAGTGATATAATGGTGTATATTCATGGGGAACACTGTCTTGTTCCATTAGTTTTACTCAAAAGGTTCCGGAAGCATTTAGTATTATTGGTCGAATGGTGGTGACTTATCGAGAGCTAGAAATTTCTTAATGGGCATATAAATTTCACAGTTTAGTTTCTTGTACAGAATCCAACAATATGTCTTCAAAGCAAATCATCATGCAGGCATGTTGTATTTTATATCGGGATCTATCCTTGATCTTTGCAATCCAAAACCATTTATAGAATATTAATGCTGATAGTTTCTTTAGATTGTGATTTAAGATGCTACAAATAGACCAAAACTTGAGTGATGAATTGGAGATGATTCAACCTAAATTGCTTATATGAGCTTAACCCAAATTTATTCCACGTGTTACACGTTATAGTAATGGAGGAGGTGGCAAAAAACTTGAGTATTGAATTGGCAAGAAAGAAAAGCTAGAGCATCAATGCTTTGAGGATGTTTCTTCTGATAAGGCCTTAACTTTTTATTAATTCTTCTTTTTATGAGAAAGCATAACTTATGTGCTCAATTTTCTTTTGAAGACTTAGTAATCAAAGAAAAACATGTTCTGCTTGAAGTTGGAGAGATTTTTTTTTTTCAATTTGGAGAGATCACTAATAAAAGGATTGTTTTATCTTGGTGCTTTGTTGATAAGAAAATTAAGTTTGTTACTGTTTCCATGGGGAAATTCTCATTGTTGTCTTGGTATTTTTTTTTTTGGCGACAAACAATAGAGTTCTAATGATGTTTCATCGTTTAATCTAAATTAATATATGGTTAAAGCAGAAGAATCTATGACCGGAGCAATAAGTGTCGGTGTAGGTTTGCTGACAGGATGACGCCGATGGTCTAAGAGTTAATATTTTTTATATGAAATGATTATGGCTTTCTTGAGTGGAGAAGGCTTCCAACTACAAGAGAGGATTACTGCTCACCCTCTGTTGGGGGTAAAGAAGGGTCTATTATTAACAATCAACATTGCACCTTCTTATAAATCTAAGGCTATGAAGGAAGAGTTAGATTTAGCAAAACCAATTACTTCAGAGACAGTCATATCCCCTCTCGAAAGAAGATAAGAAGTTCATTGATCATCTCTCCTATGCTTTTAAGAAGGGTGTTGGAGTGGAAGACGTTGATCAATGAGATTATATTGAGTCTTTCAATTAAATTCCTCACGGTCGGGAGTATATTCAGAAGTTATCTGAACCTAGCCTCATATTTGTTTATTTTGATGAATATGGTAGAACATTATAATTATTATATTTGTTGGATCATATTATAATATTTTACTGAAATATATAATCTAATATTTTCAGTGTTGCATCGTTGACGATTGCATTTGTTGTTTGATAATGCTTGCCAAATTGAGTGTTTTCGTTCATTTTTTTTAATTTTAATGAAGTCGTCAATTTTTCGATCGTCGTATAGTTCTCTTATTTGAATAAATCTCCGTCCCGAACCATATCGATGATTCGAAGAAGAGAGTAACCGAATAAGAAGAGACATACGACAAAATGACAAACAAGAGAAAAAGTAAAACGTGGAAAGTCTATATGCGATAAACCTTGCAAGAATAAGTTAAGAATGTCCACTCAAACAAGATCGAGCGGAGGCACCTTGGACTGATATCCGCGAAAGAAGTATCTACGTAGACTATTCATAACCAGAGAGTCAGGTGTATGTATCTGTTTTGGGGTCAAGGGCGCTCACAAAGGAACTTGTTCCTACTGGTTAATTACAACTTGGGGGATACCCAAGAATACTATCGATAAAAGAAGTTTCGCTTATATTATCATGTACCTGGGGCAATAGATACTCAAATGAATGTTATTCCGTGTGAGAACAGTCTCAATGTTTCAAAGCTCACGCAAAACGATCGGGCAGAGAGTGAGTTTCTCATATCTCGAATGGGTAGCGACTCATCGACTCACTAAACCCACGAAATAACCTAAATCATCTTAACGGGGATATCCCAACACGTCAAAGCACGTCTGAGCCATAAGGGCAGAAAACAAATTGTTGTATCCCAAACAAGCGGGTGTTCATCAGTATCAGACCGTCAAGGTGAAATCAACAAAGTCAATTAGCGAAATGGCTCAAAGGGGCTCAGCAAAAAGGAAGTTAGAGTGATCCTAAAAAGATAGATGTAACTAGGTCGGGTACCATGAACCCGTCATCCATAGCTAATATAACCCTAAGATTACCTGATCGTGAATGTAGTCGACCCAACACGTGTTGAGATTTCTAATCAAGAATCTGTGAATTACGTCACCCACGGGGGACCTTGATAGCCTTAAGGTCAAAGAAATGAAACTCTATCCTATGAATATAAGTTGTAGCTCCCAGATGTGAGACTTATACTTGCCAAAGTGCCGAGGATGCCTCAGAAAAGAAAAGAAGGGAAGGTTCAACTACAAAACTGAAAACACTCCAAACAAAATGACTTATACCTCGTCTGTCGGGGAGTCTTCTAACACTCTTAACGCACTTGACAACCACCTATATAGAAGATATGCTTGACCAATCAAGTTGGACAAATACAGAGGTTTCTCCTTGGGACATGCAAATATGAATGCAGTTATTTAAAGCAGTCCTTAAGTATTATGGAGACCCTATTAACATATGCATGAAATAAAAGTTCAGCTTGTTAAAGTTTTGAATATTTTAATTTTAAAATTTTATTTTCTTAAATATTTTATTAAGATTTTTAAATAGAAAAATTAATAATTTAAATCCCAATGAGCCTATATTTCATTGTGAAATCCTAGATTATAAAAAAAAATATGTAGACATGCAGACATACAGTCATGTGACAAAAAGTAAAATAAGTCAAATAAAATCATAAACAGGTCAATGTCGCTGGGTCGGTAACATATCAAAAAAAAAACGTCTGGACTCCCCATATACATGTCCGGTCATAATTCTATACATCAATGTAAAAATGCAGAATTAAGATACGGGGCACGAACATCTGCTCCCGGTCCCCTCCACAGATTACCACGCTATATGCCTCGAAACTCGTGTCATATCGAATTTCTGCTGCATGACTCTTATACTCTAAAAGTACATATAAAAAAAAGACTTAATCCTGCATGAAAATGAGTGTTAGCGGGAAATCTCACATGCATATAACGTGTAATGAGTCATGCCCCGGCCTAAAGATCCGAAGGATCTAAAGGGTGTCACGAAGAGGGGTGACACAAGTTAGATCCATTAGATTCTTAACACAGTCATACTCCTGATAGTCCCAATGACTTAACTCGCATTGCTCATCGGGATCAACCTAGCAAACAATGCTCTTTGAGGCATCATGACCGACACACGGTCACTCTTCTAATGAGTACGACAAGCTATCGAGGTATGGGCAAAACAAGCAGTAATGCAGAAAACCCACTTTGTGATTACTCGATCGAAGTACAGAGCAATCACAACGGGCGCCCAAAAAGGACGAACACATACCATAAAAATGTATGCAAGGATGATATATACAACATGACACACACAAACGGAATTTAACGGTAAAATATGCTACCTATAAAGAGGAATTACACCTGCCCTGGGACTTGGGGTACCATGCAACTAGCAGACATTGCCTTCAGGTGAGTTTGCATTGAGTAAAATGATACCTATAAAAAAGATTCACATCTTATTCGAGGGCACTTACCAACACACATGCAAACATGCAGGTTATGCAACAGACATGTGACAAGTGCATTAAAGCGGTGAAGGTGAGTATAAAATGAAGACAGTGACTTAGAAAGGACGGGCATGTCGTAGCCGCAGTGACCCATAAGATAAGTATACCGAGGAGACAATGACACGAGGATGGGCGTACCGTAACGGTAGTGACCCGAACAAAAAGGTATGCAATGAGGTAGTGACCCGGAAGTAGGCATGCCGTGACGACAACAACCTGGACAAATACGGAATGCTAGTGACCCGGGGATGGGCATACCATGACGACAGTGGCCTGATAGATGGGTACGCCGAGGAGGCAGTGACCCGGGGATAGACATTCCGTAATGGCAACGACCCGACAGATGGGTACGCCGAGGAGGCAGTGACCCGAGGATGGACATACCGTGACGACAACAACCCCACAGATGGGTTGCCCAGGGGACAGTCAACCGAATCTGGGAGTGGTGATACTCACTGCGGGGAATTATACCGGTGCAAATGCAAAATGCAAACACATATGAAGTACAACATGCACACAGACAAACATGTAATATGATCATGCACAACATGCAATATGATGCAAGTGACGGTCGTCCGGACCGTGGTGCTGGTCGATGCAAAGTGATCGGTCGACCAGACCCTGGCGGTCGGTCGAACCAAAGTGATCTGTCTACTAGACTGAGGCAGCCGGTCGAACCGAAGTACTCAAATTATCGTGCATATGACACGCAATATGATTCACACG